GTCGATATGCCTCTGCGCTTTCCGTGATAGTTCTCGTCAAAATATCAAAAGGTTTGAATTGACATTTGAATGTAAAAGTAGCATGCATCAATCATAACAAAAGCACCATACAAATCCTATTGTTACACCAAAATATGGTTTATCCAGCAAAATCACCCATGCGACGTATTGCTTACTGTGATGCTTGCCGAGTAATGTGTTTTACGACTGTGACGGGCGTTGAAGACGGTTCGGCAGAGCTGCTCGCCGTATCTCTCCCAAGGATAAACCGTAAAACGGTTCAAGCCCATTCTGGAAAATTGACATTATACCTGATGACGTCGTCATCCGCCTTTCTATAGGCGTAAAGCGACAGTGATGAACACACGTTATATTACAGGACAAAAGACACGATGGAGAGGCCATTGCTGTGAAGAGGTGAATGCATCATTGCAAGACATTCAATGCAATTTCAGGATGGAAATATTATTACATTATACAAAGAGATATTCTGGAGGTGGAAATCTGCCTTAGCACATTTGTGCCATAATCTTTTAGTTAAAGCATTGGAAATAGCCCCAAAACAAGTTACATTTTTGGGGGGGATCACTCATACATAGGTAGTACGTATACAGAACCACCAACCGTTTTCGGTCAGTCACATGTTTTTACCTCACCGATATCAGTATCCTATGGAATAGGATTGATTTAACCTACTAATAAATCAAAGGTAAAACCAGAAAATTGCACCTGAAGGTGTAACTTTGCCGCCCTGAAATTGCACAGGATGCAACGTTCTCACTTCAGTGGCACATTAATGGTTACTTGGCACTATCGCACTGATTCGCACTACATCATTCATGGCATCCAAAGCTTCTTTTGCGTCACAGAAGGCGAAGCGATAATGATTCCATTTCAAGTATAGCAGTAATGTTAATACGGGTCTCTGAGTACTTTTTGGACTATGGAGCAATGGAAGTTTTTGAGCCACTATGCACACATGACATAACACACCTTTTCCTGGAAGAGTAATCAAATCGCCCACCAACATATTTCACGAAAATCAAGAGGGGACTGCGTGTGGTAAGATGCTTACTTTTTACATCAGTAACTGTACTGGAGGGGATCTCATTGGCGTGACGATTTGCACAGGAAGCTCATACATGGACAATACTTTTACTACGTCGAAGAAGACTATACTTTTATTACTTTACATAACGTTGGAAGGCTGGAGCTGTTAATTTTGTGTGTTTTCCCATAAAATCCTGCTTGTTTTATTTGACGGTATATGTCCTTTATCAGTTGGCTATTGTATCCAGAACCGTGCTTTATCCGGAACCCTGCTCAGGCAATAGTTTATGGATAGTCAGGTGATAGTTTAAGGTTATGGATAGTCCACGCTTGTTTAGAACCGTACCTGGGGCAAATCTACGTTCTAGGATACGCGGATCCGGAGACCACCCAGAACCGTGCCTGAACCCTAGTGAATTCAGGTGTAGACCTAGAAACGCATGGTTCTGGATGCAACAATAGCCTGGTTTTGGATCTACGATTGCTAAATTCCCATTCATCAACGTGAATTTCATGTAATCCTGAGGGACCCTCATCATCATTAACGGACGGCTGCTGTCCAGTTGACCACAATACTCATCTAGGGTTGTCGTCAAGCAATTGACTCTGGTCATGCCCGGTCTAGTCTTTATATATATGACAAATAGCTATTCCTCTGCCTTCCTGGGTATCTTTGTTAATGTAGAGTACAGTTCTTTCTGAATTAATTTCCATTCAAACTAACCAATAAAAATAAAAATTGTATACCACTCTATATGGAATCAGTGGTTTACAACAACGCGGTGCACCAAGGCTCAGATCCCGTAAGATCCTGTTGTCACGGTACATCCGAGGTGGAGACGGATCGATCAGGTTTGAGTGTGAACCTCCCGCTACGCCGTCCATCTTAACAAGCTGTCTTTAAGCCTGTCTGCTTTGATACACGAGAGCAATTTTCCCGACGCGGGAGGCGGACACACGTTGATGAAGCACCCCTGATGCTACCGAATCTGTCACTGGTCGATGTCAGCATAAATTGAACAAGAAACCCCTAGACTCTTCTAGCATCATGGGGGAAAGGCCAGAGAAAAGCGATTCCAGTGTACCAGAAGATTCAAAAACAATAAATCTGTACCCCCCTTGAATAATTTCATCAGGTTGGTGAATTATTAAACAGTTAAGGCCATTATTCACAACCACGTCTGTCATTTTGATCCGGGCAATCATAACTGGTTCACTGTGCACTGAGGCTAGGTGTTACTGGTTCACTGTGCACTGAAGCTAGGTGTTACTGGTTCACTGTGCCCTGAAGCTAGGTGTTACTGGTTCACTGTGCACTGAAGCTAGGTGTTTCTGGTTCACTGTGTCCTGAAGCTAGGTGTTACTGGTTCACTGTGCACTGAAGCTAGGTGTTACTGGTTCACTGTGCACTGAAGCTAGATGTTACTGGTTGTGACATTTCTTATAGGTAATTATTGAAAAACAGATGTAACAATATCTATGTATGTCATATTTACTTTTCGTTTAGGGCCACAGTCATAATTGCCCTGGTGAAGATGACAGACGATCATCGAAACGTCGGCTCTTGTTAACAAGTGTTTGTGAATTAAGAACTTTGCTATTCAATATATCTATAGGTTTCCTGGATTAATCTTTGGTTGATTCTGATTTTTGCCTGGTTGTATTGTAGCCTTTGTCTGTATTTTATTTGGGTGAAAGTGAATATCATCTTACAAAATACGAAAACATTGAGCCAAGTCTCCTCATTTGCTGCACAAACTATTTGCCCTGAAGTTGACTTTCAAAGGTTGCCTGGTGAATATGTGGGCGTCAAAGGGTAGGTCATGATCATTGATCATTGTCTACGGCACCCCTTTTACTGGCAATAAAAGCCATTCATACCACATGGTACCGAATATTCCCTGTCGCTACTACTCTGAGAGTTGGCAGAGCATTTGTCTAAAACTTGTTTTCTGATCCAAAGAGTCTCTCTTCACCACCTCTACTACACTGCGACTGGCATTTGCCTTGGAACCGCTCCAACAGTGCACTCTAAGGAATCAGCTAAGAAGATAAGATTGGACCCACTGTTTCATCACAACCCCAGGTCTAATGCCTGCAAAGTCTCATCTTCATTGCCAGATCACAGTTCCGTTTTCATTTAAGTTTCCAAGGAATACATAGATGCCAAAAATGTTGACGTTTTTGCGATAAGGCCATGTTGATATCATTATATGGATGACATCCGCTCGCGCATGAATTTTGTCCACTCTACCTCCATATCAAGTTTCAAAGTCCAAATTCAAAGTTGAATCCATTTAAATGCAGGATAAAAGGGAGAAGAAGAAGAAGAAACATGAGGCAAATCAATAAATTTCATCCATATCTCTTAAATATCTATTCCTATGGTATGAAGTAAAGAATATCGAAAGCAACTACACAGGATGCTGCCGTCGACACTTGTAACCTTCAGCCATGAGTACCATCATTACCCATGTACCATAACATTAACCCTCTGACTGTACCTGCTATTTACAAGCACTCGGTCCTATTCAACCACTAAGTAACAGTGTAACCTTAGCCCTCTCTGCCGCTCGGATTGTTACGAAGGAATGTATAATGGAACTTCATGAAATACATCACACCTTTGAGTACTGACGTACTTATTTACTACATTGCTCCCGGGTCACGGTGAGGCATGTTGTGGGACTTTCCTTATGTGTCTAAATAGGGGTCGTTAAAAGTTGCCTCTTCTCGGAGTAGCAAGGTCATTTGACAATAGAATATTTCAGATAAAGTTATTGCCAGAGTACTTTAGGGAGTGGGAGTATATATTATGTTGCGAATTTTTTTTTAATGACTTTCTTTGACTGCATGTTACCATACCCTTATAATAAGTTTAAAGTAACCGACTTTTCAAAGGTTATCATTCTTGTCCACCAGGAATGGTAGTTAGATAACGTCCATTTATGTTTCGCCTAAGCAGAAGAAGCTGGTAGATCAGATCTGTGATTCACCTTTAGGAAAGGGCATAACCTCCCAGGGACACTGCTGATATACCCATATCTATAAAGATATAAAACGCATCACTGTGTTCTAAAAGGTTTCTTCGTGCTTATTAAAAAGCAATTGGAACAACAGCGAGCTCAGTCACGCAGCCAGAAACAAGAGCTGCTGTTTGCGTCAAACGTTAGCAAGAGTTCATGAATAAATCAAAGCAGAAGGATTTTGTACAAAAGCCGATGACTTCACTTCACTTTGCAGCAGGGAATACTGTAAAATCCCATGTTGTAATGGTGGTATCGTAGGTTGGGCCGGGGGTGGTCCCATCAGTAGTCCATTAAAGGCATCCAATGCAATTTAGGGCGGCAAAACTGGATTTTCAAAGTCAATTTTCTGGTAATTCTTTTAATGTAGTAAGTTGGATCAACCCTATTTCATGTTTCTGGCGGAAACGGTTGCTTGTGATTTGTATCCTTGGCTGGTTCTGACTATTTATGAGTAGTTAAACTAATCAATAGATCCCCAAAATTAAGAGACTCCCTCGCGGGGCTGTTTCAAACTCATGAATATAAAATGATGACGAAAATGTGCCAGGAAATGGTAATGTCAGACAAATTTCCACATCCAGAACATTTTGTATTGACGCCTTGAAATTGCCTTGAATGCCTTTAAATAAAGATAATGACTTTGATGCTGCTATTTAAATTTCTGATTGACATTGAAATGTACAAAGACAAGAAGGTAGCCAATCAATCTGTGTAATATACCGTATCATATCTACATTAAACTAGTATAGAGATCAATTTGAAAGAAGTATTAACACATTAACTCCCCTCTTCTGTTACAGATTTTCAAGTCAGGTTGCACATTTCAGAGTGCTGATTTCTATCCACGGGAAAATGTCCTAAATCAACATCTAACGACCCAGTCTGAAAAATGGCAAAGTAACAAGACCCATTTCTGCAGGCTATCAACTGAAATACCTTTAATGTCAGTACCGTTGAAAAGAACGAAAACAGCATTTTTTCGTGATTGACAAATATTCAAAACTGTTTTACAATGGTTACCTTCGACACATTTCTTAATTCTTCAGACTTTCACAATAACAACAGTGTTGGTCAGAATTTGACCGATATAAAAATATCAACAGCGACACGTCTGAAACAGTCGGTCCCGGTTATCGCCTTATTTGGCGTGTCGTACTTCCTCATCTTCGCCCTCTGTCTGGTCGGCAACACCCTGGTGTGCTTCGTCGTCATCAAGATCCCGCGCATGCGCACGGTGACCAACTACTTCATCCTGAACTTGGCCGTGAGTGACCTCCTGGTGGGGATCTTCTGTATGCCGGCCACCCTGGCAGACAACGTGGTGATGGGTAAGGTCAATTATCTGTCTGTGTCTGTATAGCTGGTATAACCGCCTCTCGGCACGACATGTTGTACCTAACCTTTGAACATCTAACTCCCCTGCTGTACTTGGTGAAAGCAAGTTCTACTCTGCGATACATGTTTGGGGAAAAATAGTTTTTTAACACATCGATCCTTGGTTGAAAGTTTGGTGTATTAAGGCATGGCTATTTCGTATTAAGTACTTTAAGTTAGTAGCTGGTACACCCACCTGTAAATTATGCATCATGCATAGTCTGGACAGTTTTCAGTTTTTCTGCACCATTTTCCAGTGAAACCCACTTTAAGTTTGTTTTCATTTTCATCACACTAGCACCCCTAGCTTTCATAGTTGTTAATACAGAACCTTGCAGCTTGGCTCTGTACTATTTCCAACGTATATTTGTTTTTTCAATGCAATGTGTTTGTAGTCGCGCGGATAGGATGCATATGTTGTGTGCAAGCTATACCTTAATGAAACTTAACCCTGACAATTTCTTTCTATCCTCTTCAGGCTGGCCATTCGGAGACGTCATGTGCCGCCTGGTTTCTTTCATGTCCACCGCCTCCGTGGTGGCCTCAGTCTTTACTCTGCTGGCAATCGCAGTCGACAGGTAAACGGACCCCATTACATGTCTTATCTTTGTTTTGACAGTAATGCGATGTCAATTACCATGTTCTATTATCACCATTTTTGTATGTCATTGGAAAATATCTGTGATCGGTGCCGGAATCAGGATCTTAAAAGACGTTCCTACAGATATTTTCTGTGAAGCTTTTATAGATAGATAAATGAAGGGCATCAAGCAATACAATGCAATACTTACGTTACTTACGTTAAGGTCCATGCTTTATTTGCAGGTTTTATGCCATTGTCCTGCCTACCAAACCTAAAATCACGGTTACTGCCATGACCAAGATCGTCATCGCCATTTGGGTGTTCGCCGCCGCCGTCGGTCTGCCACTGATGATCTTCAACCGTGATGAGGTCATTGCTCACAATCAGGGGGGTGTGACATACATGGTACATTACTGCATGGAGCAGTGGCCTGAGTCAGGGTCATGGACAAAACGGGACATCAGCAATTATTACTCCTTGGCTATCGTCCTCATCTGCTATCTCGCGCCGCTGAGCATCATTCTCGTTCTGTACATGGTCATCGGATATCAGGTCTGGTTCAAATCATCGCCGGGGCAGAGGGCATCTGTGGAGGCCCAGAACGCAATCATGAAGAAGAAGATCAAAGTGATCAAGATGCTCATCGTCGTGGTGATTCTGTTCGCACTCTTCTGGCTGCCGCTCTACACGATCATGTTGGTGAATGCCTTTGCTCACGACCAGCTGACCCGCCATCAGAAACACATCGTGTACATCTACGCGTTCCCGATTGCCCACTGGTTATCGTACTTCAACAGCTCCGTGAATCCCATCATATACGGGTACTTCAATCCGAACTTTCGCCAAGGTTTCAAGTCGCTGATTTTATCCAGGCAATACGCCAATAGCCTCAGTGAAATGTCTCACACAACAAGACACGGCTAAAATGAAGACATCAACTTTCTGTGATTATGCATATGCATCACTTTCAAGTGAAGTCTGGTTCTAGTCATCATAGACATCATAGAGTAGAGGACCCTAACATCATTTTAAAATACTGACTGATGAAGTCTACATGCAACAATCAATAACGATACTAAAACATTGGCGAGTGAACCACAATTGATTCAATGCATTCAAATCATCATTTTGAAATATTAGCACTGGACAAAGATGCATTAGTGAATTTTAGCCAGAGAACCGTTTTTTATCCGTTATTCTATTTCTGATCGTCAGTTGCAATATTCATTGTCACAATCAATGGTTGTACATAGATCAGTGCAGTAAATTGTTTATATTTAAAATGTACGTGTTGTTACAAAATGTGAATGTAATTATATAGAAAACCGAGTAGAATACGGCCGAACAAGTCCCGGAAAATATCATATCTGCCAGCGTAGTGTTTGATAAAGTTCTACGACAAAATGCAAAATTGTACTTTTTATCTAACCATTGATAGCATGTAGACACGTAATTGCTTTTTATGTATCCAGCATGTTGTATAAAAGCCTAGGCTAAACTCAACATAAGATTAAACATTTCAGCAATTGGATGTTGAGCGATATGAGAAAACTTATTGGCGATTACTTGTGAGCACAAGAACAAGAATCGTTTGGCTAACGATAGAACCTTAATCCATGTGCGACATATGTATACCTAGCGATAGACTTAATTAAGCGTAATACATCCTAACGTTCTGCCACGTAAGCAACAGAAGATAACTTGAAACGCGTGAAAGACAAGACGTAAATGTTTATGTAAATATTTGTGTAGTCTTGTGTCTTATTCAAAGGTTTCTGTCTAATGCTACGCCCAGATGGCTCTGATTATTTTGTGATTGCTTATGTCTAGAGGGAGCGCTGTAAGATGTTATTTGCTTCAAAGGTATATAGTAATTTAGAATCGATAGATTTAAAGCTTCCAGCAAGCGTACTCGAGGGATTATTGACTGCTTCAAGGATAGACCGGCATAATTAATCGGAAATGGCACACCTGTTTTTCATCCTAAAATCGTCTTTGAGTTAAAAATTGGAAGTGCTTCCATCAATATCTCCAGGGTATGCTTTGGGAGTGTAAAGTGTGTTAATTGCATACCTGCCATCTGGTGACCGATGATACCCTCATGGTTATCAATGACAGCATTGTGGTGTGTAAATATAAGTCACAAAGTTGTGAGAAACAGTTCGTGTACGTATGGCCTAGTAATCACAATAGAATTGCCATATTGTATTAAACAACACCGAATGTAATATACCTATACAGAGATTATGGACAATAAACTTTTCTCGCAGTACTATAAACTCATCGAATTTTTTTACATAAGTCAGGTCTTCTTCCATGTCATTCCATGCACGTGAATTTACAAAGAGTCAGTAGGTCATAGGTCGTTGGAAGCCGACATCGTCCCCCAGCATAGTTTAACAAAATTGCTTGTAGCCATATGGTTGATAGAAGGCGATACTGGTAAATCAAGCGATGTCACAGCCGATTCTATACAATCGACATGCCACCAAACCTCACGAACTTAGTAAATGTAGCAAACTAGTAAGTGTACAATCTGTACATTGGACCGCACATTGATGAAATGAAAGGGCGTCATTGATTATGAGAGTCAGAGAAAGATAAAAATTAAGATTATCAAACACACATATGAATTGCGACAAGCTTACTGGCATTTAACTTATCTCAAGACACATTTGTTTAGCTCGTAGGCCATCACATTGATTTTCAAACTGTAGAAGGGCGCTGCACATTGTTCCACAAAGTTAGTGACCATCCAGACATTAAGCCCCTGTTATACATTCAGTACATTCCCCCGAACACTAACCAACCAAGGTTGGCTAAAGTGCGGAAACAGTCTGACCAGATTTAGGCTACTCCTACCAATCAATACGAATCTAATCGAATTTGAGTTAAAATTAAATCAAATTTGACTGACAACCACACCCGGACCTACTCCTAAACACCACCCAACCAGTTACACCCGAATATTTGAAAAATGTCGAATATCTTTACCCTGTACTTTTCTGATGAAGATCCTTTCTTGTGTAGAACTGGTGATAAGACAGTGATAGGTGTGAGAAGTGATAAGGATGCCCCCAAGCGCGTTTTGTGTCTACTGCACTCTTTGGTATCACTAGAAAACTACGCTGATCAAAACTGGATCTCGGCAGCCATCCATCGTCGACAGTAATCTTGACTTGTCTTTCATAGCGTTGGTACAAAAGATAGACGAGGCATTTGGCAGTTATTACATTTATTCTGACAATTTTGCTTCACAGACTCAATAGCATTATTTAAGGGTTACAGAACAATTACGGATACAGTCACCTTAAATGTGTTTTCATTACACTTCTTGATGAAAAAATATCACCTCCAAACAATGATGGCATGATATAAACTATAAACAAAAGGCATATTTGATTATCTTGCTCTGACATAATACGACTCGAGAAATAAAGGAATTTTTTCGAACATACATGTATTCCTATCTTAAAAGGCTCTCTCAACCCAACACAGGTTTGGTGTGACTACTAGCGGAATATTTGTGCATAACATCTCATTGCTCTTCTGATAAAGAAAGTGATATCAATATCCAACAACAAATCTATTGGTTCGGACAGCTTGTAAGAATGCCACTACAAAAAATACTGCTCATAGCATACGGCAACAGAAAGTCTGGACCTAAGGCAAGAGGGATTCGCAGGAAAACGTGGGGACAGGGTGAAGAGGACATCCTGTCTGACCAGGTATGGCATACCTATAACAAGAGCCTCCAGACTAGTGGTTGGTCGCCAACTGTTCCCACCAGACGGTAGACATGGATCAAGACAAAGTAAAGTAAGTAAGTCCCCAAAGCCAAGGAAGTCACAGTACATTCCACGGGGCCAAAGTCAAGGGCACACCGCATTAACTACCCACCACTTCGGCGCCAGGGAGGAATTGCCGTTCAGACGACTTCCCTTCTGCGGAAGGAAACTGTCTAATGGGAGCACGATCTCCAACTTTCCCCTGAACTTCATGTGTAATGTATGGTCAAATGTGCAATGAAAAAAATTACCCCATGCCAAGGGTGCTTATCTTTGATTGTAAAGAAAGTACTCCTTTCCTTCAGTTGAAAGGAGACAGGAGCTTGCTTCAAAGCTGATAAAGATCCTTTAATTTCCTTGTCATTTGCCTATTCGAGTACACACATTCTTACTCAGAACAGTCTGGGAATTAGAAGTATAAGACTTAACACCACCCATGAAAAAAAAGTTACGAAACAAAAGTTGAACTAAAAAATGAACTAAAGACAAACAGCTAGCCGGCCGCGAATACCACTGGATAGGGCAATCATCACCTGAACTTGTAAAAACTCTATTGATTTAGTGCCAAATGGAGTATTTTTGGCATGACGTCTTGAGAGAAAAGTGGCTCGTCAACCATTCAGCAGCTACAACACACTTCTCCCACATCTTATTTAACGTCTGGGTTGTTCTGTCCACGAGCGGATTCACAGAAACAGCACCACAGAGAACTTTTCAATTGGAGCAGATCAAGAGTGAAATGAGAAAGGACCGGCTGGCTGCTGAATGGACTTCACTGTTGGCATCGACGCGGGGTTTGATCTGGTAATCCCCTTACATTGAGGTATGGCAACAGAACACACGAAATCCACCCCAAGCCGTCTATCAACATCAACAGGGGATCAACTAGGGCAGGTAGATGTGTAAGGTCATCGCACTGATGTCTATGCTAGCCGATATGGGTATGGATGGACCATATATCGTCTAGACAAGTACAGACCTTTAGCGTAACTGTATATTAGCTATACGTCATCCGCACGATCAATGAACTGTGTCTGGACAAAGACGGAATATGTCTGGACACTTTGCAGAACGTATATAGCCCAACAAATACCTTGATACTGTCCATAGCTAGCACACATGTGGTTTTCCATTGTAGCTTTAAAGCATAAAACTTGAATGGGTTCTGTTATTAAAAGAGGTCTGCTTAAGCATGTCTGCTTTGCAGCTGCTAGATTAAATAACCATAATCATATTTCTTGTTCATACTTTAACATTGCACAAATGCTTCCCGATTACAGCGTTCCGGCTAAGCTGACGACTACGTCAGTTGTTCCAGCTTACTACCCTCCCCAACAGACCCTGAACAACTTTGCTTTCAACAGTCGACATTGACGTAGACATGGTGGAATGGGAAGCGAGCGGTAATGAATCATGTGTGAGTTAATGGTGAGGATATTCAGGGATTCCCCGGCGTTGTTAGCTACGCAACATTAAACACACGAGTGAAGAATACTGTGTCCTCTGAGTCGTGATGCGTTCTGCATTTTTGCAGGATCTCTACACTCCGGATCCCATCTCAATGTCAGGGAACATCGCTACGAGCATCACAAGTAGGAACTCTCAAGGTCATTATTAGATTAGGACAAACTTCAATGATTTCCTTCACAGTTGAAGAGGGATATCTGTTTGTTAGTATATTTGTTATGTTGCAAAAGACATCTACATAATATCTACATGTACGATTACTGCAGTATGGCAGAAAATGTTACATGTTCGGTTCTATAGCTTTACTATAAACTGAAGTATATGCTTTAAAAAGGGCGATGGCTATTGTTGAACCATTGTTGTTGGTCATCATCCATTTCAAACATTGGGCGCTAATTCACAGATACCCGGGCATAAATTGATCAGGGATGTCATATCTCAAAAGCTTAGTGTTATCACAGGAAAGACACCGATTACGTTGTCTGTAGCAATATCTTCGCCTGACAGACTTCATCAACTTCAACAGAATGCCTTCTTGATTCATTTTTTTCACTCACTTTCCTTTTGTTTTGACCGTACGAGACCGTTCGAGAGATTTTTAACTTTTAAGTTAAAAATCTTTAAACTTAAAAGTTAGATAACGTTAAAGCTGAAGAGGAAAGGTTAAAAGCTTTTGGATGAAATACTATTTTCCTGAGCAGAATGCAAATTACTCTAATTAAAATCTGCA